TTGAGCTGAAAATGAAGTGATTTTCGAGCTCATCATGTGATTTCTGGGCTAGGGGAATCGATACCCATTGAAGGGGAACCGATACCCCCTCAAACGAACTAGAATTTACAGAATGTCATGGGGGAACTGATACCCCCACAGGAGGGAACCGATTCCCCCTAAAGGAAGAAAATAATATTGGTTTATTAAGTTCGTTTAAGTTGTTAGTATCGAATTACAATATGTAGGTATCTAATAATTGTCTTGAAAATGCATAATTATGTAGATTCAGAGCCTGAACGAGTTCCGGAATCATTGTCAAGTAAGATCGATAAAAGGGAAAGATAAGAGATTTGTATTGACTAGTGAGGCCAGGTGAGTGTATACTAGTAACATGTAGTGTTTAATGGAAATAAGACTTGCGATGAGTCCATTTCCTAGAGTAATATGCATGAAGTCATGAACATGATTATGTGTTTGTTATGATTATATGTGATTATATGTATTACATTAATTGTATGTATGCATGACTAAAGATATTGATATGTTTTATATATATTATATGATTTGTGTAAAACACTATTATGTAATAATAGAATAACATGAAATAAGTTGTATGATAAAGACTGAAATGAATATGTGAAATAAGCTATAAGTTAATGAATCATTGACATATATATATGAATATAAGATAACCAAGTATAAGTCATATTATATGGTATAAGTGATTACATGAGAAAGGTTAAGAGACTCTACGAGGATAGTATAAATTTGAGGGCATAAACATAAGTAATGATACATAAGTTTTATAGGGAAGATTTATATACTTAAAGGAAACTACAATTTATGAATTATAAAGTGAAGAATTACAAAACTTTATGAAAGAGTATTATAGAAGTCATGGGAAATTGAATTAAATAAATAGATAAAACTAATATATAGATTATTTATGTGAGTGAAAGGGGAAGTGAGATATGATAAGTAGAAACTATGTATAGGATAGAATGAGACTATTTGAACTTGTAGTATAAACTTTATAAAGGAATACTTAGGTAAACTCATTATATGATACAATTATAGAGTATTGCTATGCAAATTATATTAAAGAGTATATATAAGTATATGAGTAAGTTCATAGGTTATTGATAGGAGATATAAGGTTATATAAATGTATGATAATATGAAAAAGTGAACTAAGTTTAATGATGTTGAACCGTATGAGTAGAAGTTATATGATTATAAGTAACATGATTACAAGATATGTTACTTGACATGAGATATATGAAAGAGAAAGTATATGTCATATGAAACATTATATGATTATGTGATTATATGGAAAAGAATACAATTATATGTGATAAGCTTTGTGATATGTGAATCATATGAAAATGTTCTACGCGTAAGTGAATCATGTGTCTATATGTATATGTGATATGTGATTTATATGACAATGAGCTATGTGAAAGAACTATGAGACTATGTGTATATGTGAATGTATGTTAACTTAAATATTAATGCCCATGTTATGTGTCTTGAGAGCTTTGGGGTATAGTTGGCATGCCAAGAGTCGAGGGTCTACGCGGTCCTTCGAGACATATAGGTATCCTATGGAACATCTATGAGGTCCTTTGCGACACATATTTGGTCCTTAGCATATGTATATGATTCTTAAGGAATTTTCTACGTGGTCCTTCGGGACGTTTATGTATTCTTTGGAGCATGTATGAGGTCTTTTGAGACACTTACTTGATCTTTGGTATATGTATATGGTTCTTAAGGAATTTATATGTGGTCCTTATGGACAATCTTATATGGCACTACGGTGCAAATTCTACGCGGCACTTCGGTGCAATTATACGAGCTGTGGTGACAGCATTAGTGCACAACCTCTATAGACTCACATACCTATAGTTCTCACATATGTCCATGGGCTAATCAGGAGATAATAACAAATATATGTTTGTGATATGATAAATGTTGTAGAAATGATATGATCTTGTGTATGTATATATTGTTTGATTAAGGGGTTTAAGTATAAAAGTATGTGATTAAAAGATAAACTGTTGATGATGCTTTATGTGTATGTAGGTATATTTTGTTAGGTAATCTGATATGATTTTGTATGCTATGATGAAATAAGGTGATTTAGTATAGCATGATAGAATGAAACATGCATGCATGGTTAAATGTTATTAAGTGCATTATAATTTTTATTTGCCTCACTAAGTCATCGACTTAGCGTGTGAGTGTTTCACACGCAGGTTCTGGAAAGTTAAAAGAAAAGCTAAGAGAGCAAGACAGGTCAGCATCTCCCTTACAAATTCCAGATCAGAAAATAGATGATTTAAATGATTTTAGTTATTATGAATATAATTGGCATGTACTAAAGGATTGAGTCAATATGCTCTGATTAATTTTAGTTATTGTGGTCAAGTTATGTAAATAAACTGCTTTTACTTTAATTAAAGCTTTAATTTTTCTTTGAATTTTGTCAAGAGTCAAGGTTTGAAAAGTCAATGTGACACCTCGGACTCGTATCCGGGTCGGGGGTATTACACGAAGGCCCAGTACCTGAGAAAGAAAAGAAAGAGAAGAATCATTCTGTTAGTTAGTTATTATAAAACTTGGACAGCTGACAGGAATTCTATGGCTCATGTAACTAAATAATACTAGAGTTGATTGTAAAAATTTCCTTATGAAATGAATGATGAAAACTTCTTTATGTAATCTCTCTCAATTCTTCTTCTAAAACTTATTTTTTCTTCGATATTCTTCTGTACAAAATCCAATCTATAACAACCCATCAGTTCTTGTTCATGCGTGTAAGTCATAATTCTCCATATATATTTTTTATGGAAGCTTTTAAAGATATTTATCAGTAAATTTATAAATAAACTTATTCAATTCGTACAAGAAGTTGTATTAACTTTCTAAAAAGATAGCCTAATGACATGACCATGTGTCCAACTGATAACAAAATGTACATTATCCATTATTCTATCCCTTGCACATAAAAGCGTTGCTTTTTATAAAAAGAGATATTATCTTCAAGGGATCATTAATTCAACTTTAATTAATTTAACATTCCAATCATGGGCGGAACCACCATTTAGAAAGGGACCTGCTTAGTTGATATCTCAAAATTTATTATTATTATTTTAATAAAAATTTATATAAAATATTAAAAATAAAATTTATATCATCTGCGAACATCATAATTTAAATTTTCTCATTTCATCATGGATATAATATCCGAAGATGATTATATCAATATGACTCATAAACAACTTGTTATCTCAATTACTATGTTATTAAATTAGTACAAATAGAATTTTATTATATAATTTAAACTTTAAATTTATTGAATGAATTTAAATACACAAATATCAGAATTTCAATCATAAACCAGAAATGAGTAAACTGAAATTTATGAAATAAAATCAATATCAATAAATAGATAAAATTGATAGATTTTGAGAAGAGGAACCCTCTCGGATATGAACAGCCAGGAAAAGGAGAGGGTATGAATACTGTGCAATTTCATACCACACCTTTACAAATGGTCCCCTATGAATTCCCCAAATTGCCACTCATTTTCATTTCTATAAGTTAAATGTTGTTTTTGTTTAGTTACAATTATAATTAAGATATTCATATAATTATAATAAAAACTGATTATTATAATGTATAGACGAAACTATAATTACGATGAATATATTTATGCAATTACAATTGAAATTAATCATTTTAATACATAAATAAATAGATTAGAAATCAGAATAATTCTAAATAAAACCTACGCGTAGTAAAACTCAAAATTATGAACTTAAAGAACTTAAGGCCTCAACTTTACTAACATAATTACGGCCTTCTTAACATATAGTTTTCAATTTTAAACTTTAATATCTTAATTTTTTTTATTTTAATCTAGATTTAAATATTAAAAGTCTTTCAAAATTATTAAAAATAATATTTTATAATATATTTCTATTACTACCATCAATATTTATTTTATTTATTAATTATAATCTTATTTTATATAAATTTATTATCGGAATCTATTTTTTTGTAATTATTTTCCTCTTTTAACTATAACTTTTATTGAAGAATTTAACATCATCGAAAGAATATTTTTCTTCTAAATAATCATCGGTATTTGATTTATCGACTGACTAATTTATATTAAGTTTTACAAAATTTCATTATAGAACTCTCATCCATCCTAATTTGTTCCATCTATAAATGCTAAAATTCAAACTATGACCTTATTTAAAAAAATTAATATCTCGAATCACTAAAACAACTGTTCATTGATTTCATCCAAAGAAATTTAGCAATGTGACCATAATCTCGGGCGACAGAAAACACAAAATCCACAAAGAGATGCCAGTTTAGGGTAAAATAAAAAGGATAAACTACGCATTTAATACATAAACTATCAATTTTAGTCTATTTTAATATTTAAACTTTCGTTTTTTCCAAAATCATATCTAATATTTAGTGTTTATTTCATTTTAGTATCCTAGCGTTAAAAACTTAACAGACGAGTTCGTCGGCTACCCGTTTACAGATGTCTCATCCGTCGGTCGATTAAGCCCAAACTTTCCAGCCTATACCTTTTCGACCCCCTGAACGCGATTTCGGCTTCCATTTCACCGGGAAATGCCTCAATCTCCTCAAATTGACGATGAACTCTTTGATTTCTTCATCCTACGATCTCCATGGTCGACTCGTCATTCTCTTGTGGTCCACCATTCAGATTGGTAGTCTGTGCACCAGAACTATGCCACGTCAGCTCGTTCGTTAAGTTTTTAACGACTGGATACTAAAATGAAATAAAAACTAAACATTAGATATGATTTTTAAGAAAATGAAAGTTTAGACATTAAAACAGAATAAAACTGATAGTTTAGGTACTAAATATATAATTTATCCAATAAAAAAATACTGAGTAGGGGATGTCTTTGCGTGTTAGTACTATATAACAAGGACCGGTTTCATGAGTTATGTTGTGCTGGTAATACAAGGCAACAAACAATGGAGCGCAACGAGAGTGACAATGGCAGCATCAACGTTGACGATTACGACACACAACTTCTCCCTCATCAACAAGGAACCTCATCGTCTTCTTGGCGTCTCAACCTCGACAAGTTCCGCCTTCCCCAGCAGCAACGCCTAAACTCCGATCACGATTCTCTTTCTCGTCTCCTTTGAACCCCTAGTAAGTTTTGGTTCCACCTTCAGTTTCTACTTCCCTTTTTCTGTTTTGCAGATTTCTATTTTCTCAGGCAGGATATGTTAATGCTAATCAGTTAATGTAATCGGTGAAACTTCATATCTGAATGCTTCAAAAAATGAAGAATCTGAATACTGAATAATTTTCCACTCTTATCATGAAAAAGTCGGTTGAGTCCAGTTTTCTACTTTTGTTTTCCTTTTAGGAGGAAAAACGAGAACATTGTTTGGACAAAAATGAGTTATGAATACGTAAGATTTTATGGAGTTTTCTAGGAGACTAAAACTGGTTTATGGAATAGCTGAGAGATTTTCTTTTTCTCTTCTTTAATCGTTTCAACTGGTTCACTGGGGAGAAAACTATTTTGATGACTAGTTTCATGTACAAAACGATACTTGAATTCATTTACTGAAAAAAACTTTACTATAAAGCTGAATCAATAATAGGAAAGTTTTACTGTAGCATAAAAGTTAAATATTCCTCTCATGTACGGTTTTGATTGCCAGTATGATGTTTGACTAAATATCTGAGAAATAATGTTTTGCTTTCTGGGAATCATTTGTGTTTAATGCCTGGGTAAACGTTGCATCTTTAAGTTGGTAATAGACATTTGTTTCAGCTTTAATTCTGGTATACTCATGATCCAGGCAATTCTTTCCTTGATTAGTTAGTGGAAATGTGGAATCCTACTAGATTGTGTCTAAAAGTTTGGCCATGTTTGGCAAAAGTAGGTTTAGTGAGCTTATTTGTCGTCATGTTCATTATCTATTCATAAAGTGTCTAATATTTAAAAGGGCATTGTCTAAAGTCGATGGATTTCATTGTAAACTTTTTTGCCTTCTTCTGCTGAGGGGCCATTGTTGTTTTTATTTAACTAAGCAATAGCAGACTATCTGCTAAAAAGCTGGAAGTGTTTTGTCCATTGTGTCACTCATATATACGAAAGATCATTATTGGGTGCACTTTTCTTGTTAATTCAGCCCCTAAAAAGACACTCCAAGCTTTAATTATAGTGTTTGGGGAGGATTTCTAAGGCGTAAATTGATTTTCTTAAACATGGAATTAATTATAAACAAAGTTATGAGTAGACACTAGCTATGGGACTTTCTATGATGCTATGAAATAAAAAGGGTCACAAGATTTTCTTTGATGTTATAAAATCGAAGTGGTATGCTACAGGTACGACTTCATTTTATCGGTACATATTGACAAATATGGTCAGTACCTGTAAGATGCTATTAGCTCCAGTTTCATTGTTCCCTTGTGTTGTTTTCCATGTATAATACTTATGTATCTATAACAAGTTATAGTTTCATCGTTTAGTCAGTGTGTCAAAATAATGTGAAGTATAATCTCTTATGATGTTATGGTTGTTTTTGGATTCTCTTTCTTTCACTTTTGACTTCAGAGAAGCAGAGGAAGGTTTCAGAGTACTACAAAAAACAAGAAAGGCTCCTTGCAGGATTTAATGAGATGGAAACCATGAATGAGATTGGCTCTTTGCCTGGAAGCCTAACGGAGGTTGGCTGTTTACTGTTTTTGTTGAGTGATTTTCCGACTCTTTCCTCCGAACTTTGCTAAGTGTCGTCTGCTGGACAATTAGTCAAATCCCCCAACAAATAGAACTAAGCAAAATTCTAGACTGTGAACTGCTTCTCATTTTTTCCTTAAATGTTGTATTAACACCATTCTGTATTCAGGATGAAATGGAGCAACTAGCAATGAGTGAGAGGATGGCAATTAATGTGTCCAACATTGCTAACATGGTGCTTTTTGCTGCCAAAGTTTATGCATCTATCGCCAGCAGATCTTTGGCAGTTATTGCATCAACTTTAGATTCACTCTTGGATCTTCTCTCAGGATTTATTCTTTGGTTCACAGCGTATGCCATGAAAACCCCCAATCAATATCACTATCCAATCGGAAAGAAACGAATGCAGCCCGTCGTAAGCTAATTATTTCTCTTCTCTTCACTCCAATATAAACTTGTGGTTCATCATAAACATGATCTTAGCTTCACAATAAATGGACATGTTTAACAAAGCTTTACAATCCAGGGTATCATTGTTTTTGCTTCAGTAATGGCAACTCTAGGCCTACAAATATTGCTGGAGTCTGTCAGGGAACTTATTGCTAAGGTATGCTACTTAGATTCAATTAAACTTAGCTAGCATCAAGTCTTTTTGGTATGGCCAAAACGCTTTTTACTCATTTCGTCCCTTTTGTGGCTCTAACACACATGCAGTCTCACCCCAAGATCCATCACAATCAAGAGAAATGGATGATAGGTATTATGGTTTTCGTCACGGTGGTGAAGTTCATCCTAATGATCTATTGTCGGCAGTTCAAAAACGATATCGTTAGAGCCTACGCACAAGATCATTTCTTCGATGTTGTTACCAATTCGGTTGGTTTAGCAACAGCTGTTCTTGCTATCCAATTCAAATGGTGGATTGATCCGACCGGAGCTATCATCGTGAGTTCAAGTTTGAAGTCCCTTCTCAAATCTCAATGACATTCATTCTATTAAATATGCTTAGAAGCTAATCATTTACATCTTTTCATTCTATAATTGCAGATAGCATTATACACGATGAGTACTTGGGCAAGAACTGTGATCGAGAATGTATGGTCACTAATCGGAAGAACCGCCCCACCCGATTTTCTAGCGAAATTGACATATCTAATATGGAACCACCATGAAGACATACAACATATTGACACAGTTAGGGCATATACTTTTGGTTCTCATTACTTTGTGGAGGTTGACATTGTGTTGCCTGAAGACATGCTGCTAAACAAAGCACACAACATTGGTGAGAAACTGCAGGAGAAGCTAGAGCAGCTACCCGAAGTCGAGCGAGCCTTCGTGCATATCGATTTCGAGTTTACACATCGGCCTGAACATAAAACCATGGTCTGACGCTTGACCTTAGACATGATGCTTGCATGCTGGTCTGATTTACCATGTTCATATATTTGTTCATCTACTGGTGTCTGTTCTCCTTGTAGTCTTGAATGAAGCCTAATTTTACTTATCATTAACTACGCATGGATGGATTTATCTCCTTTTTTACTTTGTCTGTTACATAATTACTAGTTTTTTTACTATATTTAATAAATAAGTTTTATTAAATTAGTATGCATAAAGTTTTTAGAAGTTTAACTAGTGCAATTAATCTATATGGCATGCAATGTTATTATATGAAATTATATGTATGAATTGACTATAATAATGTAATTAAAACGAGCTCAACTATAATCAATTTAATTTTAAGAACATATAGTTGATAATTTATTTTTTGAAAATTATAATATATATATATATATATATATATATATATAGGTGGGGTACATATTTTGAATTAAACAATCAGATCGAGTTTGGATCGAACAAAATCTTCTTATACTCGAGTTGAGTCATATGCAGATAAAAGTATTCAATTTTTCAGTTGAGTTTAAATGGATAAAAAATCCAACCCGACACATGATCATCCATAATTAATCTTTCAGGTGCAATTAAAGTTGTTAAAATTAATTTATAATTGTATAAAAAATTAATTATTAATTATTCTTTTTTTAAAAATAATTTACCATCCCTAATTAATCTTTCAGGTACAATTAAAGTTGTAATAATTAATTTATAATTGTATAAAAAAATTAATTATTAATTATTCTTTTTAAAAAATTAATTTACCATCCCTAATTAATATTTCAGGTACAATTAAAGTTGTAATCGTTAATTTATAATTGTATAAAAAATAATTATTAATTATTCTTATTTTAAAAATTAATTTTCGAATCGAGATTGAATTAGATTTTCTCCCGATTATGGGCAAGGACGTAATTTTCTTGCTAAGAGTAGTTAGGGTTTCTCTTCCCTCCCCTATTTATAATTTGCATCCCTCAAGTGTTCTGCATCAGAACTCGCCTCGACTCGCTGCTGTTCTCCTCTCTTCTTTGCATTTTTATTTCTCCATCTTTTCCCATACGTTTGGTTATAAATTATATTTTTACATCTTTGGATATTTCTTTCTCTGATTCATTATTCCAAGGATTAGTTTCTGAGTTATCATCTTTTCTTGATTCAAAATAAATCTATGTATTCGTTTTTATATTTTTGTTTCAGTTCTTGTTGATATGATTTTTTTAAGGCTGTGATGACTGAAAATTTTACCATCAAACCCTGAGGGCTTTTGGTCTCGTTGATGTAAACATACACTGTTAAAGATCTGAGCCTATTTAAGAAAATTGTTTTTCTTTTTAATGTATTCTACAAATTTTGAAACGTTTATGCATTCTGATGTCTCCATTTAATGTGGAGATGAAAGAAGATGGAAGTGATGATTATTTCCCCAGATGATCGAAGGTGAACATACTGTGCGATTTGTTTTCTCTCTAATTCTTTATAGATTCCAAGCCATAATATCGAAATTTTTTTGGTTAACAATATTAGTGACTTTTGAAGAATTAAAAAGCCACACTATTGATACAATAATTATTTTGGTAATGTAGTAATAGAATAACTATTCGACACAGTATATATTCACTCTCAATATCACCTGCATGTATTTTTCCATATCATTACTTCTGCCGTCGTCACTTTGAGAATAACTTCTTTGTTATTGTTTCTGTAAGCCTTAACTGCCCGATGATTCCAACCTTGTGGTCAATAAAACTTTACCAGGAATGCTGCGACCCTTAAGCAACCTTAATAAAAGGCACAATAGAAAATTATTAGTTGCACTGAACACAATAATTTGAGAGAAGTAACCTCATGAAATAAACAAAAATTGGGTGAACACTCCACAGACATAACAGTGGACTAGTACTTATTCATGGTTCGAAATAGACAAAAATGGTAAACACAGTAATTGCATTTCCATTCAAAATAAAAGGCAGAAGACAACAATAATTTCCTAAAACTCATAAAAGCCACACGGAGGAGTTAACATAGTGGGCAAAAGTGCCCATATAAGGCAGGTGGGAATGTTTATTCCTAAACTAATGCAGTGAGGCGATTAATTCCCCAAATAGGGTGATTGTTACAAGTTTACATGCAGTGTTTAGGTTCTCTTGGCGTCTTCAGAGAGTTGGACCAGATTTCTCGCGTCTTTAGGGTGAATTCCATTGTTGAAATCCTGGGTGTTTTTACACAAATATCACATTAACAGAAATTAATTATTTGTTAGGCATTGTTTAAAAATATTTTACGGATCTAGCAAATTTTTAAATATTTTCTATAAAATTACTCTTGCATTAAATTATACAATAAAATTATTTCTACCAATTACCACTTGACACTTTCTAATGTGTTTTTGACTATTTTAAAATCTTATGTGATGCATGTGTCGCGTCTTTCTGCAAAATTATTTATGCATTAAATTACACAATACAATTATGTCTACCAATTACCACTTGACACTTTTTGATGCATTTTTGACCATTTCAAAATCCTATACGTATAGTATATTCTAGAGGGGAAAGATGTTAACCACAAGAGAACCATCTTCTATGATAAATAGAGACTGGGCTTGTGCAATCAAGCAGAGCTTGAGGGATCTAAATTGAATTATCAAAAGGGTCCTTAAATCTAAGTGCAAATTCCAACAATTTAAACCCAATAAAAAGAAATCAAAAGTTGTGGGAAATCAAAGTTTCTCCTCGAAAAGGGAAATTCTTCCACGCGACTGGATAACTGGAATTGAAATTCGAAAGATCCGGACATATTTCTCAAAAGGGTATCTAAATCCAATGGCAGAAAAAAACACAAGTAGGAGAATCCAGATTCAAAACATTGAGAAACAGATTTCATAAAATCTATCTGGCTGAATTGTAAGTACTATACAAATTTTGTTTTTGATTATAATTTATTTCATAAAATCTATCTGGCTGAATTATACATATAAATTTTGATTATAATTCAAATATATATCGAAATTTTGTTTTAAATTAATTAAATAAATTAATACATCTATTTGAACAATTAAAGGTTGAGAAATGGTAAGATGAGCATAGCTTGAAATAGGGGTGCACAAAAAATCCGAATATCCGATTTTACGAAAAAAATATTCGAAACCGGATTTGGAAAAAACCGGTTTTTTTTAACCGGATCGGATTTTTTTTAAACCGGTTATTTTAACCGGTTTGGAGAAAAAAACCTAGACCGGTTTTTTACCGGATAAAAAACCGGTTTGAAAAAAACCGGTTAAAAAACCGGTTTTTATCCGGAAAAAAAACCGGTCTGGGTTTAAAAAACTAGCCGTTAATATAACCGTTGGGGGGGGTTTTGTGACCGTTTTTGACCGTTTTTTTCTTTAAAAAATTACCATTTTACCACCCTAAACATGTATAAATAGGTTGGGGATGTATTTGGTTGATTACAAATTTCTCAAATCTTATTACACAACACTTAAACATCTCTCAAATCTTACTTTTGTAATTTTTTGTTCATCATGAGTAACACGGCTGAATCTTCCGTCGGGGGAAACCTTGAAGTCGTGAGAGTGATCGAACACACTCGAAACAAAGACATTTGGGATCACTACGATTTATGTGAGATGTCAAATGGCTCGAGGAGAGCGCGTTGTAAACTTTGTCTAAAGTTTCTTGCATCGGAAGGAAACACAACGTTGAAGAACCATTTGACAAAATCATGCAAGGCACTTCGCTCAAGATCGGATCCTAGTCAATCGAATCTTACACCGCAAGGTGGTGTTTTTGTTTACGACAACGAAAAATTACGAGAAGCGTTTACAAAGTTCGTGATTACAAAAGCATTGCCGTTCGACCACTTTGATGATGAAGATTTCACGATAACAATTCAACAACTAATGCAACCACGCTATACTCAAGTAAGTCGTACTACCCTTAGAAGAGATGCTATAAAAATGTGGCGTACGACGAGGGAAAAAATGATTTTAGGATTCCAAGAACACTGTTATGGTGTGTCGCTTACATGTGACGTTTGGAGTTCCCCTCATAATACCGGAAATTCTTTTTTAGCCGTTACGTCACATTGGTTAGATCAAGATAATTGGCAAATGATGAAAAGAACAATCGCGTTTGAATTATTCGGTGAGCCACATACCGGTGCTAATTTATTTACACTTTTAAAAAGGGTAAATTGTCTTTATAAATTAGAAAATAAAGTTTTTTCTATATCCTTTGATAATGCATCGAATAATACAAACGCGGTTCCAAGATTGAAAATATTACTTTCACCGATTTTAGACGGTGCGTTTTTTCATACCCGTTGCGTTGCACACATAATTAATTTATCCGTGCAAGCCGGTTTGGAGGTTATTGAGCCGATTAGATTAGAATTTAAAACAATGATAAAATCGGTTCTTTGTAACAACAACAAAAGACTAAATGATTATAAACGATTTTGTAAGTCCGTTAATAAAAAAGCTTTGGGTCCTAATTTGGATTGTCCAACTCGTTGGAACTCAACTTGGATGATGATGCATACTGCCTTAAGGCAAAGGGAAACATTGCAAACATTTCACGATCGACTTTTCGAGAGGGGTCATGTCCCAAACATTTATCCGGATTCGAGTTGGGAAACTATAGCCAAAATAACCGATTTGCTTGAGGTTTTTAAAAATGCAACAACTTTTTTATCCGGTGTTTATTACCCTACTAGCCCGTTGGTTCTTAATCAAATATTTTTGTTGGCTACCCGACTAAATGACTTTGAATTTGAAACCGAAGTTTTTCAAGAAATTGGCTTTGCAATGAAGGAAAAACTTTTAAAATATTTTAAGGAGATTCCCCCCATTTTTACTTGTGCCGCCGCTTTAAACCCAACGTTAAATATTGGTGGGGTTGAAACACTAATTGAACAAATTGCGTTTGCTTTTAATCTAACCGATGATGAACCCAACTTTGTCCAAAACCAAATAAATTATTTTAACAAATGTTTTCGAGATATGTTTGCAATTTATTTAACTAAATACAGATCAAGTAGTGTAATACACGATCAAATGAGAATGAATGCGGAATCATCTAGTAGACGTCCAAGTAACATAAATTTGAATCTTTTTAACACTCTTGTAAATTCCCAATCCAAACGATCACGTACTACCACCCCAAGTAGCGAGTTGGGAAATTATATGTCATGCGATTTTCTATCAAAAATGACATTTGAAGAGTTTGAAAGTTTGGATATTTTGGCTTGGTGGAAAGAAAAGGAAGCACAATTTCCGATTCTAGCCGCCATGGCCCGTGATTTACTAACTGTCCAAGCTTCTACGGTAGCTTCGGAATCTGCTTTTTCTGTTAGTGGCAGGGTTATATCGCAACGGAGATCAAGACTAAGTCCCGAGTCGGTGAAAGTATGCATTTGTTTAAAGGATTATTTGGATGGAGCGGCTCATAAGCAACATATCACTACCCTAGAAGATGCAATTGATGCCGATTTGGAAGCAAACTTACACATTGAAGAAGTCGAACTTGGAATATCCCCTCCAAACGAAGAAGGCGAAGATGATGAAGAAGAGATGGCAATGTAGTTTATTTTATAACTTTATTTCAATTATCGTAAACTTTGTTTCAATTATCGAACTTGAAGTTTTTAAGTATTTGAATTTATCGAACTTGGAAGTTTTTAAGTATTTGAATTTATCAAACTTGGAAGTATTTAAGTATTTCAATTATGTTGAGTTAATTAAGTATTTCAATTAAGTATTTGAATTTATCGAACTTGAGGTTTGATGCTTTCTCTTTGATTCTCTCTTGATTCTAGTTGCTTGATGTTTCTTGTCTTTGATCAATGGCTTCTAAGCTTGCTTAAATACACCTTGAATCACTTCTGAACGTTAGTGATAATTAATGAAGATAATATAGCCGTTTAAGTGTGAAAACATTTAATAAAAATGCTTGGAGCGTGGGGGAATCGGTACACTCTCATAGGGAATCGGTTTCCTCTCATAGGGAATCGGTTCCCTAAGTGTAAAATTCAAATATTTCGACCGTTGAATAGGGGGGAATCGGTACCCCCTATGGGGGAATCGGTTCCCTCCGAGCATTCTGGAAATCTCGGAGCCAAACCATTCAGTGAGGAATCGGTACCCCATTGGGGGGGAATCGGTTCCCTATGAGCAATATGGAATATTAAAATCGGTTTTTTTATAACCGGTTCCACCGGTTAGGATATCCGGCCCTCCAAACCGGTTAAAAACCGAACCTGTTATTTTATAAACCGGTTTTTTTTCTATGAGAAAAAATCGGATCGGATAAAAACCGATCCGGATCGGATTGAAATCCGACAAATGTTCATCTCTAGCTTGAAACTACATTTTATCCTATCGATGAAAGTTGTAAATTGAATATTTGACTTAAAAGATTGGATTCTAAAGGTTTAGGGTTCGATTCAATTGATGGTTTAACTATTAAATGAAACTGCCATTGAAAAATGATGATTTTGTACGATAAAGGAAACGTTTATATTGTATTTGTAGTATTTTTTTAATTAAATAGACATTAAACTTGTGTTCATGAGGAAAAAGTAAATTTGATGGATAATTTTGAGACTCACTGATTATTGTTGATAATGATTAATGGTTAATGGTGGTCGAGATTTGGATGAAGGAAGAGAAAAATGAAAGAATAAGAGAAACGGAAAGAAGAAAAAGAAAAAAGAAATTGAGAGGAAATTTTTTTATATAAATCTAAAATGACATCATTAATTGCATGAACTAATTTATCTTAGGCCCGTTAAGGTCTTGAATTTGAGTATTTTGTATGTTAATAATAAAAGTGTTTATTATAAAAAGGTTAAAACTTTTTTGAATAAATTATCTTATTGTATTCACCTTAATCATTAACTCTTTAACCCTTTTAAGATATGAGCAAATCTAAAATTTTATGATTATATTTAATGTTTTAAACTTCAATTATCAAACTATAATTTATAAAGTTTAATGATAAATTTTGTAATTTGTCCTTAAAATTTGCAAATAATTTAATTTATTTTACTATATTGAATGTAGTATTTCAATATTTGTAAGTAATTTTATTATAATATTTTGACATCCCAAATACCATGTTCAAACATGAAGATGCCCCCCCCCCCAAAAAAATTTCTCTGTTCTATACTCTATTTAATGCATTTGATTTTATTATAATAAAATTTTAAAATAACATTTTATATATTTTAATATATATATATATATATTTATATTATTAAAAATCTCTATGATTTTAAAAAATTTATTCAACGACATCCTTAAAGAATTTTTATTATAACGAATTCTTAAAAGTTCATTATAAGTAGTTTTAATATTTGATCGAAAGATTTTTATTCATTTGGAAATGAACGTTCATATATTTCTATATTGAAATATTGCAGAATTGTTTTAATAAGTAAAGAAAGAGTTCTTTATTTCTTTGCTTTGAATACAAGAAGTCTGCCTAACACAGTATACACTATTGTTTTTATACACACAACCTTAGCAGTATAGGTAACCATCTAACTCACTAACAAACTCATAACAACCTATCTTCTAGAATATCTTCTAGAACTTCTCTACACCTGGACATGCATGAGCTGCATGCACATGCATGGCATTACACAAGCACACTCTTCATTCACGTGAGCTTACATTATTCTCTCAATATTCTCTCTACTTTCTCAACCTTCTTGATGAAAAAATGAACACTTGAATCGAAAGTGCGACACCTCCTTCCGTTGGACTTGAATTGAAAGTGTCGATGCTTCCTTCCGTTGGACTTGAATCAAAAGTGCCGATGTTTCCTTTCGTTCTTCTTATTCACCTTCACTTCTTTCTTCTTCATCCTCTTATACAAGGTTCATTGACATATTTTTTTCTTTTTTTTCCTCACTAAAGGACTATATTATCATACTTATTACAAAATTACCACAAGTTATAGGGGCACCGCCAATTTAGCACGCCTGCTACGGCTCATCTAACTGGTCATGCACATCCGACGTCCAAAGAGTAAGATTATCCCTTAGCAGTTGCATTATGAGAGTGTTATCTTTGTATGATTCCTCGCCTAAAGTATCAAACTCAGCGATTGCTTCATCAAATGCCTGTTTTGCAAGATTGCAAGCGCGATCAGGAGAGTTGAGAATTTCGTAGTAGAAAATAGAGAAATTGAGTGCCAATCCGAGCCGGATCGAGTGAGTTGGGGCCAAATCGGTGATGGCAATGTCCTGAGCAGATTTGTAAGCAGTGAGAGTACTCTCAACAGCTTCCTTACGTTCGACTCCAGTCTTGAACTCAGCCAAATACCTATGATAATCACCCTTCATCTTAAGAAAAAAGACCTTGGAGTCTTTAGCGGAGGCCGAAGGGATGAGCCTGGAGTCAAGCAACTTCAAGATCCCGCCACAGATGGAGGAAAGCTCGGCCTCTATCTTGGCTCGATAATCACGGATGACAGCCACATGATCCTCGTTACCACGTCTCTCATCATTCTGCTCAATGGAGGAAACGATCCGCCACGAAGCATGTGGTGTGCCGATCATGTTCTTGTATGTGACGGAGAGGAGGTTCATTTCCTTGACGGTTAGTTCGCCGGATAGAGTTGAGCCAAGGACCAACTTTTGCATGAACTGAACCATCTTATCGTATCGCTCGACTTGCTCGGATAGCTTGGATAGGTACACGTACTGATCGCGATTCAAGTTATTAGGGACCGTCGTCGCCATTTGCAGGAATAGGTGACCTTTCGAGGGAAACAACATCAACGACGGCAGAAGCAATCACGATAGAGCCAACGAACTCCATGCAGCGAAAGAAAAATAAAGTCAGGATCGTTTGGCGAATGATACCATATTGGAATATTGCATTAACTGTTTCAAGAAGTAAAGGAATAGTTCTTTAATTCTTTTCTTTGAATACAAGAAGTCTGCCTATCACATTATACACTACTGTTTTTATACACAACCTTAGCAGTATAGGTAACCATCTAACTGGCTAACAAACTCATAACAACTTATCTTCTAGAACTTCTCTACACATGGACATGCACGAGCTACATGCACATGCATGACATTATACAAACACACTCTTCATTCACGTGAGCTTACATTATTCTCACAACATTCTACAAACAATATTCGAATCTGACATCCTAAAACTAATAATTATCTCTTAACTACTAAGATAATTTGGTTCTTATTTTTAATTAGTTCTTAAACGAAAAGTGATGGATTCTTATTACTAGAATATCTATATTAAATATGATAACACATGTTAAATGAGTAAGTTTTTATATACAAAATTAGCTCTAAAAAAATTAGTTAACCCTTATTCTCATATATAATGGGGTAAAGGGGAAGTAAGATAGTAGGCTTCCCCCAACGCCAGGTTGAGAACAGCTTCCGTGGGAGACCTCCAAATTATTGATTTTTAAAGTATACCCTTTTTCTTATTCTACAATATTGATTTTTAACATAAGATATTAAAAATATTATATTTATATTATAAACATTTTTTTATTTATTTTTATATTTTTAACGAATGTTTTAATATTTATATACGAAATTTGAAAATATTTATTTTTTTACAATTATAAATATTGATTTTTTAACGATGTCTTATTTTATAATTTTAATCTTATTAATATGACTTTTGGATGATTAGTTAAATACCAAAAAAGAAGAAGAAAAGAAACAAAAGCCCTCAAATTCGGTCCACGCCACGTTCAACACTTGAAAAACACATTCCATGGCAACCTTTAAAACCACTTATTTTGTTCTCAACTTCACAAAATCAGGCGAAACGCAGAGTCACACACAAAAATCATCTCTTTTTCTTCTTCTTCCTCGCTTCCTTCCTCCCAATTGAAAGCTAAAAAAACTTTTGAAGACCAAAAAAATTGAATAGTAGGGGCCCCAATGGCGTTTGTGTTACCTAATCTTTCTCCTTGCCTTCTTCTTCTTCAATCCAAAACGTGTTCCAAAGAAAAACAACACTTTCAGCCACTAGTTTTTTCCCAAACTCCGAGACTCAGTTCCGAAACTCTAACTGTTCAATCTACAACACTTCAAGGATCCGCGGTTAGCTCTCCTTCACTGCATCAGGACAAGCTCGACCAATCCCAACCACAAAGAGATGAGTTTTATGTCAACCTTGGACTTGCTGTTCGGACTCTTCGCGAGGATTTGCCTTTTCTTTTCACCAGAGATCTCAATTATGATATTTACAGGTAGTTTCTTCTTCTGGGCTGTCTTTTCTTTCTTTTTGTAATTTGGGTTTTCTTTTTTCTATTTTTGAAGTTTTTTCTTTTCTATTTTGCCAGGGATGATATTACTTTTTTGGATCCTTTGAATACATTTTCTGGTATCGAAAACTATAAATTGATCTTCTGGGCATTGAGATTTCATGGTAAAATATTGTTCAGAGAGATTTCCCTTGAAGTTTTTAGGATTTGGCAACCTTCTGAGAATGTCATATTGATTAGATGGAACTTGAGAGGTGTCCCTAGAGTTCCATGGGAGGCCAAGGGCCAGTTTCAGGGCACTTCGAGGTACAAATTAGATCGAAATGGGAAAATCTATGAGCATAAGGTTGATAATTTAGCATTTAACTTCCCACAGCAGCTTAAGCCTGCTGCCTCAGTGTTGGATTTAGTTGCTGCCTGCCCGGCTAGTCCTAATCCAACATTTCTATGGGGTCCTGTGGATACGTATCCATCTTCTTGGGTAGCGTTTTATCGCGCAGTTATGGAGACATTGGATCGAGAAGGATATTTGCTCTCGCAAGATGGTTTGGCTACTTGTTCATAGCCTGAATTACTACACGCTTCATATAGAAGTGGTGAAATTTTATACTATATACTTTTATCAGAACATTACATTTTGTATAATGGATATGGAAATAGCCGATATAAAGTTTTGTTGAAGGATAAGGTATATGTACATAGGCGCAAATGCTGGAGGTTTCGTTGCGTGTAACTGTTGAGTTGCCAGAGGAAGAGAAGCTTGCGCGTATCTGGTTCAGTTCTGTTCTTACAAGTTAATATGTATGTATACTGGATCTTAACCTTTCAGTTTAAAAAGAGATTATATATTAGCTTTATTACATAATTGAGTGTCATAATTTGCTTTTGAGTAGAGTCCAAATCATTTTGTTGGTTGCATCAATGCATAAGATGGGTGAGGTGTAATTGATGGATAAAGCATTTGCAGTGTTCATTTCCATCATGCTCCCTATATCTATGGCTGGCGCTTAGGAGGAAAAAATTTGTACTGATGCCATTGTTCTATTGTTTATATATCAATGCTCCCAAAGTTCGTAATATATAAATCACATTTCTGTGAAAAGTGGGAACTTTTGATGTTATTTTATCATTTAGGATGAGTAGGAAGAACCTATCAGTTCACCGAAAATCTTTCTTTCCTTGTTATGCCTATCATCATACTAGTTCCTTGTCGGCCAATACAGCATCACCATACTAGTGTCTTGTCTGCATTTACCAGAAGATTTTAGAGCATATGGGTTCATAATGCTTCAGTTACACTGAACTTCTTTTAGAAGCTTTAGTTTAGACTTTACCTCATCCATTTGAAGCCATTACAAACTATTTGGTGACATAGGCTTGGATGCCTATCATAAATGTTTTGTTACTTGAGTAATACGTGTTTCGCTGTATGATTTAACATATGCCACATGAATCTTTTACCGGCATGATATCATAGGGACATAATATGAACTAATCCTTGAAAAAGTAGAATAATTCGAAACTTTTCTTCAAGGTTGTATCATTCATGTCAACTTTATGGTAGTCTTATTATATAGTCTGGTTTTCTTATACATGCATGTAGCATCTACAACCATACATCTTAGTCACATTATGTTTGAAACATTGCATTGTGTAGTGATGAGATATGGCTAATGTTTTCGGATCCCATATTCATTCTGCTTCATAGCTCTTTTAATATTTTGCCAGTGTATTGTTCCGTGCATAATTATTTGCTGAGCTATGCATCCCTATCATAATGCTGCCACTTGGCGCAAAGCAAGTTCATCGTCCCTAATAGAGAGAAAGGGTCTACATAGCTCAGCAAACAAGTAAGCGGGATGAGTTGTTAAAAGACTAACAAAAAGGATACGTCACACCTTTCACGTTAGCTCTTCATTTGTTAGTTGTTAGATTTAGGTAAGCAAAAAGGCAGCTCTTTAATTAGCTACAGATAATGAAGTCTTATCTTCATGTTGTACTTTGAAAGTTAAATCCATGATATTGCTCATAAGTATTTTGCGTATATTAAATGTTTGACTGAGTCAATGGTATTATCAATAAATAGATCTTTTAAATAATAAATAACTAAAAATCTTTTTTTAAGATTTGAGCACAAAATTATTGATTTATATACATTTTTTTTATCATTATCCTTAGATTTATTTGTAGATTTAATGTTCACTAATATTTGTTTTACAAAAAAATGTTTTATTCTCACTCGTATTGTGTAGTAAAATTTTATTTTTTTATTTTTAAAAAAGATAAGTTATCTTTAAAAAAATTAACTATTTATTAACTATTTTATATTTAACTATTAAATTCTAGGATTTATATAAAATTACCATGCAACTTCCGACGCACGATTTTGGAAGAATCGTACAAGGAAGTAGTATATATATATATAATATAAAATCTTGATGACAAAGTTGGAAACAACTAACAAGAAAAATATGTATCTTTCCAAATTCCAATACTTTCTGACTAAGTTTCATTGCGATACTTTTTATATATATATAAATCTATAATTGATATAAAATAATATTTATTTAAATATTTATAATCATATGACAATGAACGCTTATGATTATTTTTATACTTATTTAAATGTGAGTTAATTAATCAAATTTCTAACTTAATTTGATTAATTTATGAAATTATTTCAAATATTTAACGAGTTTAAAATTTGAACCATACAATATAAAAGGCATATCCATTATTCGAGAACAAAAATAAAAGTACAAACAATTGACTCGGTTATTTATTGAATCTTACACATAAGATTGTAAATGGACTGAGCTAGAACGAATAATGTTATGTTTGTGTTTGTTTGTTTGTTTTTGAAGGTGTTCATGTTCGGTTCGTGATCGTGATCGCTTAAATTTTTAATATTGTATTCTTGTTCGTTTATTTATTTTGAAGGTGTTTGTGTTTGTTTATTTATTGTTCGTGAACGTATTCATTTATATGTTCACAAACGTATTCGTTTAAAGTTTACAAACATGTTTATATAAAGTTCATGAATATGTCTGTTTAACGTTCGTTTAGTGTTTGTTTATATGTTTAATTTTTAGTTTTACCTTTTCATTTGCAAGCTAAAGAAAAATGGTAAAATTATGCAAATAATGTTTAAACTCCTTGAAATTCATAATTTAAATTTTAACTTTTATCATGTGTTCAATTTAGTCCCTACCTTCACCAATATTTAAAATGTAAAAAAATAAAGTAAAACGAAAACGAGAACTAGGTAAACAAGTTTGTTTATGAACATAAATGAACGAGCTCATAAACAAGCTTGTTTGTGAACATAAACGAACTGAACACACATATGTTCGTGTTCGTTCGTTTATTAAATGAACATAAAAAATTTTGTTCATACTCGTTTATTTAACTTAAGAAATGAACATTATACGAACGGTTTATGAACAATTCACCAAACGCTATGTTCATACTCTTTCTTTTTCA